TTTCTAAAGAATTTGCTTGTTGTACTACTTAGGACAACATAAAATTCTTAGACAATTTTAGGAGTATTAGTTAAATCTACGCAATGTAATATATAGTTATTATACACATAGACCAGAGCGATAGCATAGTGGGTAGGGTGTTTGCCTTGCATGCGGCCGACCCAGATTCACTTCCTCTGCCCCTCTCAGAGAGCCCGACAAGCTACTAAGAGTATCCTGCCCACACGACAGAGCCTGGCAAGCTCCCTGTGATGTATTCGATGCTAAAAACAGTAACAATGGTGACATTACTGGTGCCCGCTCGAGCAAATCAATGAACAATGGGAGGACAGACAGTGCTACACAAATCTACAAAAAAATAAAAGTATATGAAAAAAGATCTTTATACTGTAAAAGAAGATAGCAGATTTCACCATTTAAATGGCTACAAAAACATAACCATGGTCCTAGGTGTTTTCAAAGTAGTTTTCTTGTTTGTTTCTTGGGACACACCCAAGAAACTCAGGGGACCATATGAAATGCCTGGGATTGAACCCGGGTTAGTCAGGTACAAGTGCCCTACCTGTTGCACTATAGCCCCCAAAGAAGTTATTTTGTGTAAAAAAGAATATTGGCATATTAATTTCTTAATTTTGCTTATATTTCTCAATTTCTGGCAGTAAACATGTATTCCCGTGTTTTATCTTTTTCCTTGGAAAACGAGACATGGGCTGGAGTGGTAGTACAACAGGCAGGGCACTTGCCTTGCACATGGCTGACTTGGGTTTGATCCCAGGCATCCCATATAGTTCCCTGCGCCCTGCCAGGAGTGATCTCTGAACAGAACTAAGGAGTAGACCCTGAGCACAGCATGCTGGGTGTGGACCAAAAACAAAACAAGCAAACCAAAAGTATCCTGAGGAAAGAGAGACAATGCAAGGGGGTAAAGCGCTTGCCCAGCACGACATATGGTCCCTCCAAACTCTAGACCCAGGTGATCTGGCTTGAGTGATCTTAAGCAGACCATGTATGGCAAAAACAACAACAAAGGATATTCTACTAAATGGGAGGAAGCTATATGCAGACCAAACAGCTGATAATAGGGTTATACAGAGGACATATTAATCTCATACTGAATGGCCTAAAGAAAAAAATCCAGGGGGGTATGGTGCCGCCAGCAGGTCAATCTGTACCTGTGAGGCGAGTGTATCAGTAGCCTGATGGCGCCTTCAGACTTCCAGATACCCCCAAATTGCTGCTGTTCCTTTGGCGAGACCCCAAAAACTTGGGGCAAAGTTTACCAAGAAAGTAAACGGCCAAAAGTTAGGTATGTGGGAAACACACCCACAAACCACCTCCGGCTCAGCTATATAACTGGAGGCATGGCCTCGCTGGTTCCTGATTGAACTGCTTAATGGCCATGATCCCAGAGACTCAGAAACAAATCTCAAAACCCAGCAGCTTTTGGCAGAAATGCGTCCAGTCCCTGCAGTAGGTTACCGGTGCTGGGCCACCCCCAGGGAGGAAAGGGTGTTGTCACTCTGCCTGCTCCCCCTTGGTGGCTCAGTGACCGTCATCCTCTAGAGGCCACTGGACAGTCAGGCTTGAGCCCACAGTGACGAAACTTGTCATTCTATATTCATTATCAGGATCTCTATACTATAACACATGTATAAACCTCAAGCACTCTAGGACTGTCTTCTGGTTGTTCATCGATGTGCTCGAGTGGGCACCACTAATGTCTCCATTGTGAGACTTGTTATTTTTGGGGGCATATGGAATACACCATAGGGAGCTTGCCAGGCTCTGCTCTGTGGCGAGATACTTTTGGTAGCTTGCCTGGCCCTCTGAGACGGACGGAGGAATCAAACCTGGGTTGGCTGGCCATGTGCAAGGCAAAAGCCCTACCTGCTCCTGCCCCATGTAGGATAGTACAGGAGTACTGTTTCTATAAGATGCATACGTACATAGCATTGCACTGTAGCACTGTCCTCCTGTTGTTCATCGATTTGCTCAAGCCGGCACCAGTAACGTCTCACAACAAATACAGATTAAATTAAGATTTAGATTAAGTAAGTATGTAAGACATATATATATTTGAGGAGCTAGAGAGCCAATACAGGGGTTAAAGTGGTTGCTAAGCATGCATCTGCAGCCATGAAAGACCCAGATTCAAATCCTGGCAGCACATGTGTTTAATACCCTATTCACTGCAAGACATAGTCCTTGAGCAAAGCCAGATGTGGTCCAAGACCAAACAAAATTTGAGTGAGAAAAACTTTTTCAAAAATACAGTGTCATAGCAGCTGGAGCGATAGTATAGCAGGTAGGGCTTTTGCCTTGCACATGACCGACCCGGGTTCGATTCTCAGCATCCCATATGGTCCCCTGAGCACTGCCAGGAGTAATTCCTGAGTGCAAAGCCAGGAGTGACCTCCACCCCCCCCCCCCCAAAAAAGGCAAAAAATACAGTATCAGAAAGATGTCTAGTATCATCATTATTATTATTATTATTGTTTTGGGGGCCATATCTGGCAGTGCAGAGGACCTACCCCTTATTCTGTGCTCAGGGATTTCTCCTGATGGTGCTCAAGGGACCAAGTTCTGGTGCCAAAAATTAAGCCTGTTTCAGTCACATGCAAGGCAAGCACCATAAACCTCTGTACTATTTCTCCAGCTGCTAGATGTTTATAATCTTAGAATGAAAAGGAAAAGTATTATATCTCTAGCATAGTATTTTTATTTGCTCAATTTTTTTGAGGGGGGGGGGTCTCACCTGGTGATGCTTACGGGTTACCCCTGGCTCCTGCACTCAGGAATTACTCCTGGCAGTGCTCCAGGGACCATATGGGATGCTAGGAATCAAACATGGGTTGGCCGCGTGCAGGGCAAACGCCCTACCCACTGTGCTGTCGCTCCAGCCCTCTGTTTTTTCAAATATTAATGAATCCTCTTACATTCTTTTTAAGGATCTTTGTATAATGTGTAAGAATTTGCCAAGAATCTTGAAGGATATCAAGTGCCTGCAGGCGCTTTTCTTCTCCCACCCCCTTCTTCTCTCTCTTGCCCTCACCCCTCCCTGTCTCTACCTGCTTTTGGGCATTACCACTTAACATAAGTCTTGTTCTGTCCAAGTTGTAGCAAAATAAAATATTTTCTCTTATAGCTCAGAAGTCAACACTGTCAGCACTGTCCTCCCGTTGTTCATCGATTTGCTTGAGCGGGCCCAGTAACATCTCCATTGTGAGACTTCTTGTTACTGTGTTTGGCATATTGAATATTCTCGTAGCTTGCCAGGCTCTCCGAGAAGGGCGGAGGAATCGAACCTTGCTTGGACAGGCTGGCTGCACGCAAGGCAAACGCCCTACCCACTGTGCTATCACTCTAGCTCAGTAGTATTCCATTGTATATATAGACATCTTTTTCGTTCATCTGTCATTGGACATTTGGGGTGTTTCCAGATCTTGAATATCATTACCAATGCTACAATGGACATAGATGTGCGTGTATCTTTTGAATTAATGTTTTATGTTCTTGGGATAGATGCCTAGGAGTATTCTTACTAGGTCATATTTTTTGAGAAATCTCCATACTATTTTTCATAGAGTCTGAACCAGAGAACACTCCCACTGACAGTAAATGAAGGTTTCATAACAACCCAATTAGCATTGCTTTAGTCTTTTCTTTAAATTTTATTTATTTCTGTTTTAATTTTTATTAGTGAAATACCATGAGGTACAGTTGTAGACTTATAAGTTTTTATGCTTGTGTTTCAGCCATACAATGATCCAGCACCCATCCCTCCACCAGTGCCCATTCTCTATCATTTACTTTTTTTTTTTTTAATTTTTGTTAGTGAAACACCATGAGGTACAGTTGTAGGTTTACAAATTTTTATGCTTGGGTTTCAATTATGATCAGTGTCATTCTCACTGTGTGAGTTAACGGTTTATTATTGTTTTGATTAGAATTTCCCTGATAATCAGTGATGATGAACACTTTGCCAGTTGGCCATCTTTTTGTCTTTGACATAATGTTATATCCACTCAACTCATCTTTTTATGATATTTTTGTTTTTTTTTGTTTCTAAGTTTTCTAGATGCTTTGTGTATCTTGAATATCAGTCCTTTGCCACATATATGGTGTGTAGATATTTTTTTCAGTAGGGTTTCCTTGATATTAACCATTGTTTTTTTGTTATGCACAAATATTTTGGTTTGATGTAGTTCTGTTTATTTTTGCCTCTGATTTTCTTTACTAACTGGGTCTAATCTTAGAAGACATCTCTGATGTCAATATTATGGAAAATGTGCATTTTTTTGTTGTTGTTCGTATGGATTCAGGCCTAAAATCTTTGCTTTATGTTGAATAAACATTTGTATATGGTGGGTCCAGTTTCATTCTTTTGCTTATGGATAACCAATTTTCCCATCATTGTTTAAGAGATTTTTCTTTGTTCATTTTATGCTCAGTTCTGCATATAACAAGGCATGAGTACCTGAACCTTTCTACTCTTTTTCATCCCATGCCAGATTTACCAGTTTTTAAGCTTTGTTTTATGTATCACTCTTAGTTCTAAAATGCAACTTTTTAATGACTACACATTTTCCACAGGATAGTAGTCAACCCCTCAATGTAAATAACCCAGGTATTGATAAGAACCCATTTAAGTAAATTATGGTACTTATGCAGCATAAAATAGTACAAAATGTCCAACATGCAAAATGGAAAAGTCTTTAGAAAAGGGGTATTTAAAAAGAAAAACAAAGTATATGACAGTGTGTAGCATGCTGGCATCAAAGGGAACAAGGAAGACTTGACTTTGCTTTTGTAGCTCTTGAATTTAGTGTCTGGTGCTTGTATTACCTGTTAGCCTTATTAAAATATTTGTGTTAGACATTTATACAGAGTACATCTTTATGCATTATTTGTTTTCTGTTCTAGTTTATAAAAAAAAAGCTTGAAATTAACTAAAGATAGTTGTTTAAATGGTACTAAAATGGGCATTTAATAATTTTCAGGGTCCTGGGTTGTATAAATCTTGTTCTGTGGACAGTCTTTCTACAACCAAAATCAAACCTCTAGTACCTGCGAGAGTCAGTGGGCTGAGCAAGAATCCAGGAAGCATCCAGAGAAGAAATCACCATAATGCTGAGAATAAGTCAGGATTGCAGATAAAAATCAGTGAACTCTGGAAAAATTTTGGATTTAAGAAGTGAGTTTCCTTTTTACTTACTTTAGAATAAATTTACTTTCTCTAGTTTTAATCCCGTATCTCAAATATTTTTACATTAATTTGTATCTTTTAATCTAAAAAGGTGCCTTCTGTCTTACTGTCAGCTAATTTCAGTTTTCTGTACATTCTTTTTAGTAACAGGTAGCAAGCAAAATAGCCTTGTCTAACTTTGGAATTTCTTTATTGTCATGCAAATTATTTTCCTAATAATTTTCCTTCAGCAATGTACTTTTCATTTTTTACCTCTAGAGAAGTAATGAAAGTAAAATTTTAGACCCCAAGATGGAAAAGTAATTCTATATGTTAGACCTCGAGGTTTAAAATAATTTGTTTCAACATTAATCAGGCCAAAAGAGAGGGAAAAGTCTAGTTTATATGATGAATTTGTCTAATTTCTGTTGTTTGTGACAGATACTATTTCTTGGCATATCTACAATTTTTTTTCCTACTACAATAGTTTTCTTTTGTTACCATTATTATGAAATTGTACTTGGTTTATTTTCTTGGTTTTTTTTTTTTTTGTAAGGTAGATCTGATACGAATATAGTGTAAAGACAGTAGGTCTCAATAGAGATCTATTGCACTTTACTTGTAGAAGCCCTGGGTTCAATTCTGAGGAACTTCCCTCACACAGAGCCTGCCATAGACTTGGAGCACCCCTTGATCTTACCCCAAGCCTTCAGGATTTTTTTTTTAATTATAAAAAATTTAAATTGTTTAAGAAAACTACACAAGACTTTTGTGTTGTTTTGGTTGAGGTATATGAAGAAAATTCAATCCTATTCATATATATAATCAGAATTGTTCACAGCTGTTTATTTAATTGTAAATTATAGGCTGCTATTACACCAGAATTCAACAAGTGTTAGTTCCTTAAAGATAAATTTGGAAAAAAGAAGATAACACTATCAGTTGACTTTTTTGTGCTCTGTTACAATGTAGTCTGTTGGTCTGAATTGTGCTTTATTTTGTTTTAATTTTTTTTCCCATGTTCCTTCTTTGAAAAAAATGATTTTTATGAAAGCCAAAGGGGACACAAAGAGAAAACTCAAGTTTAATTGCTCATACTCAGAGGATTTAGATATGTAAATAATTGAGGTAGATAATGCACTTAGAGCTTATTCTCTTTATCTATTTTGTTGAATTAAGAAATGCTAAGTTTACTTTTATATATTTTGCAGAAATTCTGAGAAAATTTCATCTTGTCAGAAGCCAGCTCCTCTGTCTCCAGTCAAAGATAATATCCAACTAACTCCAGAAACAGAAGAGGATATATATAACAAATCTGAATATGCATGTATTCAGAGAGCAATATTCCAGTAAATGCAGCTCCTGCAAGACTGTTTTCTGCAAGACAGTGTCTGTCTGTTTGAAGTCCCTGTATAGGAATGATTCAGTAAACAACCTGGAAGATTTTGTCTTGAATCTAAGCTTTTAAAAAAAAGTCAGATTTTATATATTATCTGTATAATAATATTTTCAGCTTCTTTTATATTTTCATAATAGGCTAAATGGAGAAATAATTGTATCTTTGAAAGATTTTTATAAATTTTTATTTTTATTTTAAAATCACAGCCATTGGTATTACAGAACCATACAATGTAGAGGCATTGAATTGACTTGGGATTCTTCTTTGCAAAGAATTGGTCTAGCCCTTGGAGCCATCACTCTGGCTGTTTTGGGGTGAAAGTGTTTTGGGCCACACTCAGAAGTGCCTGGGGCTTACTCCTGGCTCAGAGGACATGCCTTGCCAGGGTCAGTCACATTTTCCCCCTGAACTATCTCTCTCAGCCACTATTTACAGGTTTTGTTATCTACTAGACAAGTCTTCTGGAGTTTATAAAAACTACTCTAAAGATTTCAGTCATTTCAAGAACAATATTGATAAGCCCACAATTCTATATTCAATTATACCTAGAGAAAATCACCATATTTCTCCAAGTTTTAATTTTTTCCCCTGCTGTGTTATCTTTCAGGATAAAATTAAAAATAAAGTTGTTCAGATAGGAGGGTTAGATGGAAAGTGTCAAAGAATATTGCACAAATTTGGACAGTGCTATTATCTTTAAAGAGTTGGCTGGGTTGCAAATTGACATAAGTATGGACTAGAAATTATGATGTGCTTAAAGCTAGAGTTTTTACATGTGATAGAAGATACTAAGGCTGCAGAATTTAATAACCAACACCCTGAAGTGAAAGGGGTAGATATCTGTGAGGCAAGATTTTAAATGTAGGAGGTAAAAGATTTTTGTTACTGGGTCATAATGGATGTGCTCGGGAGCTGTTTTCTAATGTAGTGCCTAGGGGTCATTCCTGGTGGTCCTTCAGGTACCATACAGTGCCAGTAGTCAAACCAAGGACCTCTAATAGGCAAGGCAAGTACTTTATTACTAAACCACATTCTTGCCACTCAGAGTTTTTAATTATTCTTATTTTATTTGGGGGCCATACCCAGCTATGCTCAGGGGTTACTCCTGCCTGTCTCATGCTCACGGACTACTCCAGACATTGCTCTGGGTGCTATATGTGGTGCTGGCAGTTGAACCAAGGTTGGCCATGTGCATGGCAAGTGCCTTAACCTCTTCAGACCTGGAATTTAATTTTTTATATAAATAACTACTTCTGGTGAAGTTCTCCATCTTTTCCCATTTGTCTCACTGATACTATCTCTCCACCCTGATTTTTATATATGTATATATTTATTTATGTATTTTATTTGAGGCTACATTCAGTAATGCTCAGGGGTTCCTCCTGGCTCTGCACTTAGAAATTACTCTTGGTGGTGCTAGGCAGACTGGATAGGATGCTGAGGATTGAACTCAGGTTGGCCCACATGCAAGGCAAGTGCTCTACTCACTGGACTATCTTTCCTGCCCCTGAATTTTCAGTTTTAAATGAAACTTAGTAGAGGACTCTGACAAAGAGATCATAATGAAGCAACAAATGTGTGAAATTGGTTTTTTAGCCATAAAATAAAACTCAATCTGGAAAAAAAAAATGAAAATTTGATTTATATATGGATATTTGTTGCAGAACAGATTATGTACGTAAATCAATATTGTTTATAAATGTCCTCGTGCACTTAAGATGACATTTAAATTACAGGAAAGTGTTTAAGGGTGTTGTCATTTCACCAGGATTAGAAAGAGAAGAGCAAGGAAATGTGAGTAAGTGATTTAGCAAAGAATTGATTTGTTTCCTGGGCAAGAGGTGAAAGTCTAGAAGGGTCAAAGAATGGAGAATGGTATTCAAACATTTGAAACCAAAGTTTCATTTGGAGACTGAAAAGAGTAATTGGTTGAATAATTACAGCAATTAGGGCATTTGCCTTGCTCATGGTCAACTTGGGTTCAATACCCAGCACCCCATATAGTACCCTGAGCCCACCAGGACTGATTCCTGAGCCAGGATAAGCCCTGAGCACCACCAAGTGTGGTCCAATTCTCCCCACCCCCACCTTCAAAAAAAAGTAATTGTCTAAAAATGTAAATGGGGGAGAGAACTGGAGAGATAGTACAGTGTGTATGTTGCTTGCCTTGCACATAGTTGACTGGATTTGATCCCTCATACCCCTTGCAGTCCCCCAAGCTGTGATCCCTAAGTACAGAGCCAGAAGTAAGCCACCAGTTATGACCCAGAAAACGATAATAATAGGGGAAGTTGAAAAAATTATAGCAGTGCCATAAGTTTTTATTCTCCAAGTGCATTAGCAACTGCATAACAAAATAAGCTTGTGGACAACATTAAAACTGATTTTTATAATAGAATAGTTAAGAGATCCCAGTTTCTGCGTGCATAAAAGCCACTAACCATGATAGGATCACAGTATGGTCTGGCATCTAATGAGGAAAAGTAGATGAAAAATCCTCTGATCAACTTAAAAGCAGGACTCTAGAATAACCATTGATGTGTACAATAACCCCAGTAGGAAGCAGTAATCTAGCTAATAGGAACTATTAAGACTGTTTACCAAGTTTGCCAAAGTTTTCTTCTGGAAGGATTTCTCACTTGCCCCCGTCACCTGAAGACAAGCTGCTGAGCACAAAACCAAAACTGCAGGAGTGAGACAATTACGGCAAAGGAAGAAAAGGCTAAAAGAAGTGAAATAAGGAAAAGTTGACAGAAAAGTCATCAGAATGCCTACCCTGTCTTGAATACTTCAAAAAACAAGTTAGGAGCCAGGGAGCTCAACAGGCTGAGTGCATGGAGGAGGCCCAGGTTCCATCAATGGTGCTTCAGGTTTCCTTAGCACTGCAGAAACAACCTCATGCAGTGGTAACCCCTAGCACTGCTGAGTTCCACTGGGTATAGTTCCACTGGGTTCCAATTTGTTTCTGTGTAATCACCAGCTGACTTCTGCTCTCTTTCGCCACCTTTGTTCCCTGATCACTTTCCCACCCAGGGCGGCCGATGCCATAGGCATATGAAGGGCAAACCTGGTTGGTGATCAGTTGCCGTTTATTCCATTCTCCCCACACACCTGTTCCAGTCACACTAAACCCCTCATTCCCATCTCCTATCCCTCCACCTTCTCTTGGCACTCCCACCTTGGTCTCTCCCTAGTGTCTCCCAACTCCCCAGCATTGGAGGTAGCACAATCAACATACCAAAGCCCTGCCTGATTGCCTGCAGCCAGGGGATCAGGCTCAAGGGCAAAATGCCATTTAGGGGTTTTTCTCCTTTCCTTACTCCAATAACTTAATTAACATGTAATTAACATCTTAATTCTACTTAATGTTAGTTGTTTTGTGTGGACACTGAAAAAGATACTTTAAGCTACTAGGGTGGCTCTCCTGGGGACATTTCATTATAGATCCCAGACTACAGTGCTCAGGTCAGATTAATCTTTCCTAACCCTTGCAGGGTCCTAATCCAGTTGGATCATGACAGAATTTGTCCATGACCATACTTTAACTTATACTAGTATTTTAGTATTATGGTGCTTTGGCCAGAACCATTTCAATGCCAGAGTAGCTCATAGCTTGCCCTGGTTCAATCCCTTATTGGGACCCTGCTTTTGGGGTGCTAGGAAGGGCAACTGAGGTTTAACTTGAGAGAACAGACGCCCCAGAGTGAATATTATTTGGAGTCAATTAACTCCAAATAATTACAAAAACTCCAATTACTTACAAAAATATTTAAGTTACAAAAACATAACATTAACTTTCGTGTCTATACATAAAGGACATTGCTCTGAATTAACTATGCAAAGGACATTAGGAGAAGAGAAAAGCAATATTTTCAAGTTAACAGAGTCTGATTAGGAGATAATTTGGGGAAGCAGAACACAAAGAGGTTACAAATAAACACAGGAATGGGAGCACTGTGATGGGAGTAACCCAATAAACCCAAGCTCCCTCTGTCAAGGCAGAAAGGACAAACCAATGTTATCCTACAGTTTTTTTTTAATCTTGAAATTTTCGAAACTCAAATGAACTTAACTTTTTTTTCCAGTTTTAGAAACTATTTTTACTAGAGACCTTATATTTTAGGCAAACTTCTAAAGTTTTATTGCAGTGCCTGGTGTCAAACCCAGAGTCTTGTACATTGAGGAAAGGCTACCACTGAACCACATCCCCAGCCCATTAACAAAATAATGAGAAAAGGATGAAGGTCCGAATGAGCTCTTTACAGATGATGAAATTACCAGAAATACCAACAGTTCTGAATCAAGATGAGTCAATCCATTTTAAAAATATGATGCTAAATATTAAAATATGTTTAAAGTATGTAGGATATGAGGAAATTTATGTTGGGAAAAACTCAGAAATAACACAGGAAAATATTACAAGTAAGTGTTTCAGAAAGGAAAACTAAAAAAGAATAGAAATACAAAGATAATCCGGAACCTAAAATAAAAGTTACTCAGAAGGACCTGTTCATTCCAGTTAAGGACAGAGGCTCCATGTAGATTACTAAAGTGTGTTTGTTTTCTGTTCTTGTGTCACACCCATGGATACTTAGGATTTACTCCTGGCTCTGGTAAGGGATCACTCCTGGCATGGTCAATGCTAGAGATCAAACCCAGGTGAGCTAAGTGCTAGACAAGCACCCAAGCCACTGTGCTATTGCTCCAGGCCCACGTTATTGAAGTTATTGAAGGAAACAATTTTAATTCCAGAAATCTTTATTTTATTTTTGGTTTTGGGGCCATACCCAGCATTGCTTAGGGGTTACTCCTGGTTCTGCACTCAGGATTACTCCTGGAGGTGCTCGGGAGATTGAACCTGGGTCTGCTACATGTGAGGCAAGTGCCCTACCTGCTGTACTATGATTCCATCCCCTCTCAATTTTAAAATGGTTTGAAAGTTCAGGACCCGTTT